CATGTAGTTTTGTAGTAGTTCATCATGATTTTACAAAGTGTTACTCAATTTGTTTGTGTTTTAAATATACTTTCACACAAACTCTTCATTTATCATTCAATTACAAACATTCATTGATATTTCAAAAATTGGACGATTAGGGCCACACCCGCTTTTGCTACGGCCACACCCGTAGCAACCGCGAGGATCTCGGAATTGTCCGGACCAACGAAGTTCGTCCACGCGCAAGGACCCATCTGGATTTGAATACGTCGATCCACCAGTTGTCCAGAAGAGGAAGGAGACGTGCGGACGTTGTGGTCTGTTGGGCATCGTCGCAGCTCAAGAATGTGCCCTGCAGCTTTGAATGCGACAGTTGCGCCTGCTTCAAACCCGACAGTTTCACCGAGTATGAGTTTGACGGGCATGGGCATGGTAATTAGCGGGCGGGTGTGGTCATAGCAAAAACGGATGTGGCCCTAGTCGTACACTTTCAAAAATTATAATGTAATTCAAATTTATATTGATAAAACAAGTACTCACACAATGAACCATTTTAAATTCTTCAAAAATCTCTCTCTCTATATAAACAATTTGAAAATTACCATGATGATTATCATCTAATTTTTTTTACTAAGATATATCAATGTAGGTTTTATAATTTTCATTTTGTGACAACATATCATTAATCTATCTAAACCTTCTAAAATATTTCTTGAAACTAGAGTGAGATGGCAATATGTCATTTGAGATTTTCAAAGTTGTAAAACTTACATTTGCCACTAAGGCAACTTTAATCTTAATCTACCTAATGAAATTTCCATTATCTAGTCAAAGCAATCAAAACTAACATGTAGTCAAAGTATTTTTTTTGGAATAAAGACTTTGATAGAAGACAAAATAGTACTGTTGATTCAAATCTTCTAGAATTTTCTAATTATTTTGCCAAGTTTAGACATCATGAATAAATTTTGTCAGAACCAACTAGACTTAATCATAACTAAGTTGTTTATGGTTAACTTTTTTGGTTCATTCTAGCATTACTTCACACATACAACACCATGTCTTATTCAATCAAACTACACTATGTTCTCGAGTCTTAAGACTATTTCACTGCAAATGATGATTCCCACAACTAAAACACAAAACTGCGAAGTTATATAGAGATGAATTTCATATCGGAGATCAATTTTCATATGATCTAAAGCCTATTTTACTACATTGATATTGAGATTAACCAAAATAGTAGTAAGAGTGTGACAATTTTAAGTTATGTTCCAAATTTATATTTAGTGTTAAGAGATCTCAACACTTAGCATCAAAAATCGTCAGAAAATAAAATTTTCAATTTTGAAATCTAAGACCGTCCACGCATAATTCACAAGTTAACCCACTAGAATGTGAAACGGTTTGTCAAAATTACCTTTCAGTAAAAAGTCATTAACCTTAAAGCAAAGAGGGTGTAAAAACTTGAATTTAGACTACCCAAGAGAATCTTTACTACCAAAAATATACACAACGTCTACTTCCAAAACCATCTTTTGTATCGCATGCTCAAGCTGCTTGAAATCATCCTGCAGAATTTGAGGTCAAATACATAGTATGTTTGGCCTAATTCATCAAAATTGCCAAAAAACACACTTTTTATTTGATTTACTTTTGCCAAGATTCTTCATTGGGAAAGTTTTTTCATGTTGAGCTTACGTGGTTCCCTTCTTTGATCTTCCGACCCGAGTAATCTAGAGCTTCGTCGAAAACTTACTCAAACACTAAATCCTTAGTTCGTCCTTGCAAATTTGATACCTTTTCACAGTGCAACCACCATAGTCGAATTCGATACTAAATTTCAAACGATCATAACTTTCGACCTCTCGACAAAGTTTAACTCAAAATGATTATCTCATAGAGTAGATCAAGCCTATTTATGCAAAATCAGAAAATACAGAGATGACAAATTCAAATTTTAAGAAATCAAAAAGGTTTTTTGACTGAAGAGTATAATACATCTCTTCTTATTAAAATTTCAAAAATCTCTCTCATCATTCAATGAAAGAATCTCGTTTTTTCATCAAAGTGTAATCAGTGCCGCAACCAAATGTCGAATTTAAAGAGATTTGCAAATGGATTTTTCTTACAAAATCATCACCTTTTTTGTGCATTTGTGTGTCTTCAAGTAATCATAATATGTATGTGGGTTTGGAGATATTTTACATGAAGTTAGAACTATACATCACAAACATGAAATACCAGTAAAATTGTGCAGAAAAAATTACTTGAGTAATTTCTGCTTAAAGAAAAACACTTGTTGGATCCAACACAATTCATTCTACTCATTTATAATCTGATGTAACCCCTTCCATCACTAGAATTCATGTAATCCATATTTCAATAAAATTTCTTGTAACCTAATAATTCATGGCTATAGAGGAAGTGACTAACAAAATCCATCCATAGAAATGTGTCAGCCTGGTTAGGATTCACAACTTGATCAATTCAAGATGAGATCGCATTATTTATTTTCCTCTCTCCTTATCTTCATTCTACTTCAAATCAAAGGAGGTATTGGATCAACGGGATAGGTAGAAGTTAGTTGCAGTTATAGACATTGTGATCTTGTCATTCTCAAATATTGTTTCATAAACCTTTTGATTTCCAAAAATCTTGTTTGTGGATTGCTCATTGATGCATTTCAAAGTTTTGAATTCTCACTTAAGAAGATTAGTGGACGTTTCAGAAGCTCCGTTTGATAGAGTTTTGTTTGCATCTTAGTTAAAAGACTCCAAGTGGGATTTTGTTCCTGAAATGATTGGATAGGGTTTTGTATGCATCTTAGGTAGAAGACTCTGAGTGAAAACTTGTTCCTGAAATGGTTTGTGCGTAACTTAGAATTTGTATTGGAATATGAAAGACAGTGAGCCGCAAGAATTGAGATTCTATTCGATAAAGTGTATAGTGTTAGGTTCAAGCATGTGTTTTGTGTTGTGCAATGTTTTGTATGGGTAGTGAGTAATTATCTCAGTCATTTATGATAGCTTTTTATTGAAAAATATACTTGACACTATTGATAGAATTGACATACATATTTTTATAATTTTTTTACTTATAATATATAATTTTTCAAAAAATAAATCAAAAACTTAAAAAATATGATTTTGCATCAAGTATTGATTATGGGTGATTTTTATTGTATTCTGTACAACATATTGTATACATTATAAGTTATCATGTTCATATATATATAGTCGATACCAAAAAATTAAATCAAACTTATAAATCTAATGATTAAAAATATACTATTATTATGGATATGCAAAAAAAAAAATCATAAAATTTCATTTTTGATTAATTTAGGATTATTTTCTAAATACATACAATCATAGTAAAATTACAGTGAATATCATATTATGATATGCTTCTAATATTCAGTTTATTGTGTTATAAATTAATTAAAATATTTTCGGTGATCAATAACTTAATCTATTTCATTTTGAAGTCAACTTGTATTATTTTTTAGTCATAGAAATATTTCATTATTTTTATTTTTTTTCAAAAAATTATTTTGATATCCATGTAATCAAAGTAAAATTTTTTAACAAAATTTCATCAATAAAATGTGATTTTTATTTTATTATAAATGAAACATAAAATTTATAATAAAATACTACATACATATATATATATATATATATCTCTTTCTTTCTCTCCTGTAAAAAAACTAGTAAATACATGCATTATCTTTTATGTCAAAGGAAAGTGTTTAAGAAATTAAATTTTAATCATCAAAAGATTTAACATATAATGAAAATTTATATAACTAGATTTTATAATTTAAGAGAATTTTCCACTATATATATATATATATATGAAGAATATTTTTTCTTAGTCTATAATTTCAAGTCTTGTCTGATTTTTTAAAATAATTCTAACACAAATTTAAATCAAAATGTAAAAGTAAATGCATAATCTATTAGTTTACATACATACATACTATTACTCAGATGAGTGATAACGTATAATTGATTTTTATTATCAGATAACAAGTGTATGTATACTTTCATATTATATTCTAAATATATATCCATGAGTGACAAGTTTTAATCCTGTAATGTTTAAAATACATTTAGATAAAATATTGTACTGAATGTTAATGCTCAAGTGAAATATTTCTAAAGAAAAAGCTACAATATGATTCAATTATTGAAATAATAGATTGTGAAATTGAATGTAACCAAATACAATTTATAAATGAGATTTGAGATAATCTCTGAAACAGTAAAATTACATAAAATATACTTCAAAAATTTGATTTGTTGAAGGTTTTGTTTAATTGGATTGATCTATTGTAAATGGTTAAATTTTATAAATTTTTTCAATTGAATTGATGTTGTGCAACTGAGTTGAAAAAGTGTAGAAAGATTAACAATAAATAGTATCTCACACATGGTGTTCCAACACCATAATATACAATTAGACTATGACAAGTACAGTATAACATGACAGAGTGATTGATCTCAACCTTGTAGAGATTGATGGTTTCTTACATACTTGTACATTCTTCCAACAATAAATCCAAGGTCAGAATAAAAGTCGAAGTTTTTGTTTTAATTACCATTTAGCCCATGGGAATTTTCTCAACCCTCAAGAGTGATCGACAACATAACCTCAACATAACTTCCATTCAAGAGATGGGAGGCCGTATATCCTTGAACATCTACTGACATTGATTAAAATCGTAATGTCTTCTATTTTTCAATTTCTTTTTTCCATTGAGCCTTCAAGAGAATAGGATGCTCAGTTTGTCACAAAAATCGAATATTCTCAGACTGGAATTTGCGAAAGGAATTTTGCAAGCGAGTTGCGCGTGACACGTGTCGATCCACGATCCTCGTGTCGCCATATGCCGTCCTTGGGTGGTAATTTGAAACCGGTTCCTTACTAGCCGTTGCTTGGCTTCTAGCGGACTCTACAATTTCTAGGTTTTCACTCGTGCTCCAACCCCGTTCTGCTCCCTATTTAGTCTGCGAGGGCCTGTGCATCTCCAAAGATTGCGACATTGTCGAATTTGATGATTGACCTGATTTTCGAGTGTCGTTGTAACAGTTAGTCGAAGTATGGCATCAGCCTCCCGAAAGCACAATTTGACGGGCGTGTTTCCACAGCGGAAGAAGGCGACCGTCGCGTCTGGCAAAGACAAACGTTTTGACAAGAGCTCTGGCGCCTACGACGATGTGCCCGTCGGAGGTGCGTCTCTCGGCGGTGGATCCGCCCAACCTGCTGCATTGATCACCTCACGGGGCGGCAAGCAAGACTTGAGCGGTACGTTCTTCTCTCCTGCGTAATGATTCGCCTGGCCACTCTCTTCCTTCGTAGAAATGATGTATAGCTAGGTGTTGGAACAGACCCCGTTGTGGAGACCTTTGTCCAGTACTTAGGGGAATGACATTGCATGGATTCGCGTGGATTGTTGTAATCACGAAACCTCCATTCAGATTTGGTTGATGTTATTCGTACTCAAGCCAGGTCTGGTCTTACTGGCGTCGGTTCTTTATTTGGCAATTGAGAACCCAGGGCACGGTGATGAAGCAATAAATCTAAATCTGTCAATCCTCTGAGTGGTACTTGTACCAAATGTGGAATGATGTATACTTGAGCTGAGTGCCCTAACTTTTAAGAACCGCGTCGTCTGTTATCGACTTTAACTCGAGAGTCTTTTTCAAGCACACTCACGTGATCAGTGTGAACTCGACCTCGGAAGAAATCGAGACAGTAGTTTTAGTGCTCCCTCATTTTTTTAACTGATTCGTTGGACGATCGACGTTTCGGAATCTATATCTTGGGATTACTGTGAACTGACGTAGAAAATTTTGCAATACAGGTGACTATGACGAAATCGAAAGCACTCTCCGACAGTTCGATATGAACATGGCGTATGGACCGTGTCTTGGCATAACCAGAATGGAAAGATGGGAGCGGGCCACCCGACTCGGTTTGAGTCCACCAAGCAATGTGAGGGATATGATCGTGAACCTCGAAGCCAGCCAAGACTGCTTGTGGGAGGGTCGAGTGTAGCGATTACGTGTACATTGTTGTATAATGTACAGAGTCCACGTGCCACAGAAGCAATTTTCCATTACCAGCAGAGATAGATGTGAATATAGATTAGCACAATCTGCCATTCGACTATCGCCGGCGAATATCCAGCTCGTCTGAGGCGCATCTTGTACATATTGCCACTTAATGAATGAAGTCAAAGTTACTCACTTGTAACTTTTCCGATCGATAAAATCTCCTCGATTGCTCGACCGCATCTATCAACTATGCCAGAGAAAGATGGTACATCTAGCATGAAGTTATCTCGTTTGATAAATGGAAAAACACAGTAAATTGCAGACAGATCTGTCTGAACACTTCATACTTTTTCTTGTACATTACTAAAAGTAGAGAATACCTAGTATTAAAATAATGAAAGTAGAAAATGATTAATTATCCAATGCTATTTTAACATTCACAATAATATCAGTTTTTTAAGAGTGAAAAAAATTTGTCTCAAACATATGTACAAACCGCGAGCATGTTTTTTGCATAATTAAACACACTTCAAAATACGACTTCAATACTCCTTACATCCGTGTAACATATACAGTTTGGAAAAGGAAAAAACAACCATACCGATCGGCGCAAAACATCCGGAAATGTAAAAGTTGGCAAATCTTCTTGCAAAAATTTAAATGTGTGAAATTTCAAGGACTATATTCTCGACAATACAAATTTTGTCAAAAGCTTTCTTCAATGTGACAACCTACCACGTCAATGCGCATCTTCAAGCCCCGATGCAATGATCGGATAATTTCAACATCACAGTGTTCAAAGCTGGCATATAAACCACGGTTTTGACTCCTTGTCAAAACGACTAAATCGCACGATCGTATTTCCACATATTCTATCTGCATAGAAATCTGCAGGGTTTTGCTGGGAATCAAGCCTCTAAGATCACTTCGTTCTGTCATCACAAACATAAGTAAGAATTACATTCAGTGATCGTAATATGCCTGTTATATTGTGCAAACTCTTATATTTTCTTCATTTTCTAACATACAAGCAGTTAACTACAAACAATACTTCATTACACATCCGTGGAAGTTCTCTATGGAATAGTGCATACCTTGGTTGTGAATGAAGCAGTTGAAATACAAATAATCCTTGATCACAAATCCCTTTGTTGAAATGAATTTATCAGAAACCATTAGCCGCGCCTTCACAACAAACAATCTCAACAAAGTCCAACTTTGATACAATTAGTCAATTTCCATTGACTTATTGTATTAATAAGAACCGTTGTCCTTGCAGACTTTGCACCATTTGATGTTAGATGCAATAACATTGAAATCCAACATATTGCAAATAGTGTTGGCATGTGAATACTAAACTTTCAATAAACTACTTCTATCCACGAAGGTGGAAAATCGTACCAATTAAACTATGATAAAATTTGATTTCATTTACGTCGGGGTAAAATCCTTGCATCACCATAACTATTTGATGTGAAGCACACTTGACATGAAGATTCATAGAAATTGCAATTGTAGCGAAATCACATTACGATAAGAGACATGTCCAATCATGTTTGCACCCTTGTCCCTCAAACATGCAATGAGTTTGGACTTCCAACTATTATGCAGGGAGTACAATACAATCTCCATTATATCAAAAATTGTGATGACGGTATGACTTTCAGAAAATGCAACAACAATCAAATAATAATTTTGAAGTTTTCCAAGAAAACACAGATGAATCTCTATATCAATGTAAGAAGTGATGTGACAACATGATACATTTACAACAATTGATAGCGTACAACAATTCAACATCAAAATGCAATCTTCATTATATCAAAAATTGTGATGACGGTATGACTTTCAGAGAATGCAACAACAATTGGATAATAATGATGAAGCTTTCCAAGAACACACATGAATCGGTATATCAATGTAAGACGTGATGTAACAAAAGGGGACATTTATAACAATTGATAATGTACAGCAATTCAACATCAAAATGCTACTATACAAAGAATTCGCACGTAATTTGGGACACCAATTTGTTTCAATGTCCCAAGTAAGTACATTCTATGATATCTTTGTCATCTTGTAAATTAAAGTGTGATATGTGAAAAAGAAACTGCTTGATCATGAGACTTGTCGCAAACTCTTTGTCAATTGTTTCATACAAACCAAATGCTTTTGAATTCAATCATATAAAAGAATGTTGTCAATGGATCCAAAAAAAATCATCCTAAAGAAGTGATGTGACAACATGATACATTTAGAACAATTGATAGCGTACAACAATTCAACATCAAAATGCGATCTCTATTATATCAAAAATTGTGATGACGGTATGAATTTCAGAGAATGCAACAACAATGGGATAATAACTATAACTACTCATACAGATCCAACATGCCTCATATGCTTTGCCCTCGCACCCAAACTCAACACAAAATCGGCATCGAACACCAATTACCAATCCTTGTGGTTCATGATGACACCATACTGCAGCTTATGTTTTTGACATCGAACACCAATTACCAATCCTCGTGATTCATGATCACACTAAAAGTATACACATTACAATAGAAAAAATGATTATATATCACATAGAAAAGTATGATTGATTCTTGTTCATGCTAAAAAACAAAAAAAGTTTACTCCTGTATATACTTTTATAAGTGAAGATTTCGACGGTTGATTTCATCTTTTGAATATAAGAACATGAATAAACAGAAACTTTTTCACATGTAGCACATATAATCTTTAAAGTTGTTTTAATCATTTGACATTTTTTGATTAAGAATAGATCTGCTGCGACTTTTAATCGAATGTAACACGTAACAACTGTTTTTCAATTTAAGGTATTCAACGTATTCGATTTCTTAAGAAACTAATAAATGGTTCAATATTAGATAATAAACTTAAGTTTAGAAGTATCTATATTATTTAACGATGTTTACGCACTTTAAATATATCCCATATTCACCAGAACGTCATTTAGGTTTTTTAAATATTACTTCACATCGGTTTTCCTCATGGAAACAGATCTTTGTTGTGGCAACGTACATAAGTGACAAAGTAGTTACGGAAGTTAACTAATCGTCGTAAAATCTCTTGACCGCTCAATACTTTTGATCGGTTCATTCGTACAACAGTTTGAGGATTTTTATTTCAAAACAATATAAACACTTCAATGTGTTGAGGATGTTTGAGTCGGGTCTTGTAACGTAGTCCCATGATCGGCATAGAAAGAATCAAGCTGTCTGGAACATCGCGCACCTAGACGACACGACATTTGCAGGAGATGACTGTGCACTGCAAAATATCTTATGTCTTAAGTTTGAACTTTCCATCATAAATCACTCTCACAGGCGAATCAATCCCCTTACTCATCATATTACTTCAGAAGTACGTAATGAGTGATTCGTGAAGTGAAGATAATTCGTGAAAACTTCCGAACTCAAATACCAACACGACATGCCGTACAAAAGTAATTCTTTGACATGCTCTAAGCTCCACGGCTAAAACTCAGCAGGATGAATCTATCGCAAACTTTTAGTCTAAGTACAGGATACTAAACCGTCTACCATGCAAATACACCAGATGAGCTTGGAGAATATGTCCAGAATTAGTCAATATCGACAGTTCGAACAAATGGTCAAGTTGTTTTCTAGTCGTCATCCACACGGGTGTTCGAACAACTCATGTTCGTCTTCTCTAGTGTCAGGCTGATAAATCACATCGTTACCCTCATAATTTAACCAAAATTCAAGTACTTCGCAAAATCATTTTTGCTTCTATCTTCGCTCCTACATTCGGAGTACTTAAATGTTTCCATATTCAATAAACTCCTGGACCAACTAATGGCCCTTCCAAAATTGTTTTCTGTTTATTGAGCTAAATCAAGTAGCCCCACCGTAGCCCCAGCTCCTACTTTACTGGATTAGAATGTACAATGGCCGAACTCTAGATACACGCATTTCTTGCTCCTTAATACACACGGGCCTTCGGAGGGAAACTCTCAACCTCATCATCAAGAGTATTCATGTGCACTGGTCGGTATTCCAGCCTCACCTTTCCATCTTCCCAATATCTACATTATTAAACCAGAGAACACGTCAGTTGCACGTTCAAAAAACCGACATGCCCGTCAAGGACTCGACCATTGTTTGAATGCCATGCGTGGTCAGTCTCTGTTCAGATTTGGCAAGTTGGTTCACAGTAAGCAAAACGCCACTACACTACATAATAATATGGTAGGTCTCAATCTAAAAGCATGCAAGTCGATTCGTTCAATGTAATCATTATGCGCATGTTGTCCCATGAGTCAGAATACTTACCCGCAAGTGTGTTTCATCCAGTTCGCATCGTCCCGAGTCTAGAAAGAAACAAGGAACACGCATATAGATCAGGACATATAATCTACAGGCCATCAAATTATAAATCACCCACGTCCAATTGTGCAAACTATCGCAGGTCAAAACCACTTATCGAATAGAACTAAAGCTCACCTTGAAATCCTCGCGAGCGTGAGCACCACGACTCTCTTTTCTAGCCTCCGCAGAATGCATGGTGATGACAGCGTTTATCAGCAAATTTTCCAGCTCAATCGTCTCGGTCAAATCAGTGTTCCTGACAAGGGGATCGATACATGATTAGCTTGAATTGCAAGCTAAATCGGTGATTTCCTTAGGATGCCAAAGTGCATACTTATCAAGAGTAATACACGAGATCGACCGATGAGAAAGTTGATGGCTGTTTATCTCAGAATGAGAAAAGGTTAAGTTCAAGACATTACCATATAAGACTTCGGTCACTGATCTTGACCCTCTCGAATGATTTCCATACATCATCAATCAGAGTTTTGCCTGCACTCAGATCAGAAAATCAGATAGGACTTACCCACAACTCATGGAAAAGGAAAGCAGAACAAATTAGTGTGCAGGCTTGGCGACACAGAAAGCGTCGACATGAGGGTTCATAAGGCGTCTAAATATTTGACTCTCAACGGCCTTCCTCTAAATAGGGCAGATAACAATATCGCACAGAAATCTCGAATAGGAGGAAACAGTACCTTCTTCTAGAGTTTCCTGAGTTCGAAAAACTGCGGCATTATTCTGCATAACCCTCTGCATCTTGTCTCGGATATGGGCACAGGACAGGTCGCCCTTCGCATATCTCAGCTTATCCAACCATGCGATTGTTGCCTCCCCTGCGTTCTTGGGCAGAGGACGATGAGGTTGTCCTGGATTAAGACACGCGCCAATGGGAATAAGGGGATCAGGCAATAAGGCAGATTAGGACATATACTGTACATATCCACGTCAGTAGATAGGTTCCAATTTCTCTTGGCTTAAACTAGAAGCCTCATAAGATCTAAAGCAACTTTCAACCATGCACAAAACCAATCGCTTACAGCACAGACAAGATGCCACACGGATCTCGCCAAACCCCACACGCATGTACGGAAAGAAGTCACGAAGAACAAATACCTGGCTTGTAAATATCAGCGACCCTATTTGCGCAAGCCCGACCGAAAACAACAATATCGAGCAATGAATTTGCTCCGAGTCTGTTAGCACCATGAACAGAAGCACAGGCAGCCTCACCCGCAGCCATCAACCCTGGTACTACGTGGTCAGGGTTGCCATCCTGAATGGTCACAACCTGCACAAGGTAGACAAGGTGCACGTAAATCTGCAGCTCCTTCTTTGTTCTTCTTCTAGTACCGCATCATGTACGACATATCCCACAAAACTAAGATGTCACGGTGGTGCCTGACAAATAGTCAAAACAAGAGAAATTTCCCCCCCTTCAGTGACAAAATCAATACCTCTCCATGATAATTGGTGGGAATACCACCCATGTTGTAATGAACAGTGGGCAAGACAGGAATAGGTTCCTTCGTCACGTCAACTCCGGCGAAAATGGCTGCGGTTTCGGAAATTCCAGGTAATCTCTCCTTCAGAACTTCTGGGGGCAGATGGTTAAGGTGGAGATAGATGTGATCCTTCATGGGGCCTGCAAAAGGATAAAGTTAGAATACTACGTACTTGTACACTTAAGACACCATTCTTTGTCAAAACTCAAAGCCGGCGAGTAGTGAAAAAGTCTCACAGTTGAAAGTTTGAAGTGGTACGACTTCCGGTACTCCTGACTCAATTACTTAAATTGCAAACTGTCGGCGGCCTTTGGGATGCACTACCATGAGAATTTGAAGGATGGTGTAAACGTACCCACACCACGACCTTCACGAATCTCCATGGTCATTGATCTCGAGACGACGTCACGAGATGCCAAATCCTTGGCTGTTGGAGCGTACCTCTCCATAAACCTCTCACCCTCACTGTTCCGAAGAATACCTCCTTCACCACGTGAACCTGTTACAAACAGAAAATAATCAGTTTCGCATTCGAGATCAAGAAAAGGCAGACACCCTACCAGATACTGCTGGCGATACACAAAGACTATAGGTAAAAATACAAATAGTCACTGCAAAAGAAGACAGAGCAACCATACCTTCTGTGATCAAACAACCGGCACCGTAGATACCAGTAGGGTGGAACTGTACAAACTCTAAATCCTGCGATGATCGAAACTCTCACGATCATTAATCTCAGAGCAAACAAAAGATAAAATGGACAAGCATGTGTTCAATGGCCAAACTAAATCAACAAGTACTTGTAAATGTGCAAAGCCATTACACGGTACTACATTGAATCATAACCATTTTTGTGCAAAAATGTTGTCTTGCTAGCGCATGCACTCTATAATGAAACGACATGAACTTCCAGAAGGCCTTGGGCAAGTTACCTCAAGAGGAATTCCAGCCCGTGCAGCCATTGCGTTGCCATCACCTGTGCAGGTGTGAGCAGAAGTAGCTGAAAAATAAGCCCTTCCATATCCCTAAAATATGAACCACCACAGGAAAGAAGTGTCAGTGTAAATTTGAAAGGTTGCATGTGCAACTCAGATCTCACTACCACTATGACACCAGATTTCAAATGCAAATCGTTGCCAAAACGTGAATGTAACAATCAAGTGGACTAGCTGTAGTCAATACAAGCCATAAGGACTGGTTTCACTTAATCTGCGTCATGCTCACAGTTCGTCGTACAATAAACACAACCACATTCACATACCCCAGTTGCTAAGATTGTAGAATGGCCTTTGAAACGATGAAGTGTACCATCCTCCATGTTCAAAGCTATGACGCCTCTGCAAGAACCTGCATCGTTCCAAGACTACAGATATCAGCCGAGTTTTATCATGGAACACACATCCTGGAAAAGTGATAACGTACGGAACATCAATTGATTATTATATTGCAGGACCATATTTAGCCGGCCATCGATAAAAACCAATAGAAACATGGATACTACACGATAAAAAGAAAGTGTGGCTCCAGTAGGCAAACAAACTATCTGAATACACGGCCAAAACACTCAACAAGGAACACGAAGACGTAGCTTACCGTCAGTATCCATAATCAAATCAAGAGCCAAGTACTCGACAAAAAATTGAGTGTTGTGTTTCATGGCCTGCCCATACAGTGTGTGTAGCAATGCATGACCAGTTCGGTCAGCTGCACAGGCACAACGATGCGCTTGCTTTCCTGACAAAAATAACAGAACGGTTGATCAACAACTCGTTCTTCAAGACATTGTCTACGGCTGACTTTACTGGCTAACTAAGCACACTCAAATCAATGCCGTAGTCCGGCGTGTTTTACTTAAACCTGAACATTAAATTTAAGAATTGCGCGGTTCTGCGCATGGGAAAGCGGAGACAGCAAGCAAACCTTTCCCGAAATTCAGGCTCTGTCCGCCAAAAGCACGCTGATAAATTTTTCCTTCTTTGGTACGGGAGAATGGAAGCCCATAGTTTTCGAGTTCATAAACAGCCTTAGGAGCTTCCCTACACATATACTGGATAGCATCTTGGTCACCTGCCCCATCCCGGTACAGGAAAAAGATGATCAATAAACAAACTGAGAATCTCAAGTATAAAAGTCCCACGACTGATGCATCCAGACGGGTAAATGCTATACGAAACATAAACTACTTTACATATACATCATTAGAATAAACAAAAAATCCGAATTACTGTTCTCCGGACGACGAGGGCAGCTAAAATTGATAAAAGTTTGATACAGTGACAGAAGTAGTGTTCTAATTGAGAAAGCTGTGTGTTTAAGGAACTTAGAGCAGCGACGGTCACGTCAAGATGACAAATTTCAAGCACAAAACCATCTTTCAGGTCATTCTTTGACATAAACACTTACCAAGCCAATCACTTCCTTTCACTGTGTCGTACATATGCCACCTCCAGTCGTCCTCCGACATATTTCCAAGCGCTGCATTGATCCCACCCTGTATTGTACTCTCCGTCAGCAAAACTTATAGTTATTCACGCATTTGCGTTGAGTTCATGAAGAAACTCCAGAAAACAAACTTGTCGGTCATCCAAGCCATATTTTATTACCGTCTAAGTCTATTGTACTGATGGAGAAAAAAAACCTAGTTCCTAAAGTCGGTTCGTCCTCATGTCAAATTACAGGAATTTATCCCTGTTCCGTTAAAGGAAAGTTCGTCCAAAATGGGGGGAAAGTTAACTTCAATAAAATAATGTCAAAATGTCGTTCTTCATGTACACAAACTGCAGGTTTGTAATCCTGTCCTAGTAAAATAATGCGCAAAAGAGATGCAGTATTGATTGTTGATGAGCAAACATCACGGTGTCACCAGTCACACCACAAGATGCTCACTTACTCGTGTACCTGAGCAGCGACAGTGTGTGATCGGGTTGGGAAAAGCTTGGTGATGCATGCAGTGTTGAACCCATGCTCTGATAATCCGATGGCGGCTCTAAGCCCGGCTCCTCCCGCACCTACCACTATAGCGTCATACGTATGGTCTACAATTGGGTAAGACGCAGGTCCTCCAGCCTGCAGCAACGAAGGATAACTCCATAAATAACGACTTCACTGAACTGACAAACTGCTGCTTCGCTTCTCAACAGCTTTACGTGATTCAATGCATTTGTAAGGAGCGTGAGTGCCTCAGAACTGCACTATGAGATGATTCATCAGAGAGTATTCGTGCGAAAACACTTGTTCCTCAACGTTCCATCTGCCCACAGGAATCCCAAAACTTTGAAGTACACGTTGAAGGGAATTGCAATCCCCATCGAATTTGTGGTTCATAGATTGCAGGGGAAAAAATAAAATCCCAGAGTTGAGATTGATTCGTCCTTTTGATCCATACTTATTAAATGGATGCCTTGAATAACTAACTACTTAAATGCTCTGTGATGGTTGGTGGATATCAAATTTCGTGCATGTTTCCCCAGAAGACAGAACAAGGGTCAAGGAAGTGGTGAGCAATCCTTGGCGCGATTCGAAACAGGAAGAGCAAAGAAGAAATATGGGTACTTAAAGAACCACATGATGGTGACCAAACCAAAGTACAAGTTTTCCGTCCTGGATATTATTCTCTATGCCAGATTCAGCATGAAAGGAAGGCAGATGAAGAGAAGAACCCACCTCGCCTAAAGTCGTGCCTGATGGGGCATCGTTCGATAGAATGCGTGAACCACTCCTAGCTGCATGATACCTTGCAACACCTCCAGGATGGGCAAAGGCGCTGGCCGCAGGCCAGACCTTCTTCGCGACCCTCCTCAGCATCTCTGGATCAAAGAAGCCCAATTCCCGATCAACCCAAAGTCAAGCGATTGTCCACAAAATCGCTCGCACTGTCGCCTATCCTGCTCTACTCCTCACAGTCACTAACTCTGCACCAAAATTCTATATCCCGACAATGCAAAAATCCAGCGACTTCATCCTCGCCGGAACCTCGATCCACCTCGCTTTCGATTCTGAAAAAAACCCCCAATCCGGGACAAACCTCGCCGTATCCAAAAAAATACGCGGTGCGCAACCTGATCGCGCTCACGGATCTACACACATCAGAGTGAAGAGAAAAGAACACAACAACAAAACAGACACGCCAATTGAATCCACTGCCGGACTCAGAACTCACTTAAGCTCGTGCCGATGGCGACCAAATTCTAAAGCGAGTGCGGGAGGATCGTCGAAGTCTCGTCTGCGAAATTCTCACACCGCGCGCTCTTGTCTCGCAACCATCGACGCTCGCTCTCCGCGCTCCCTTCCAGTTTTCAGCGCGTCCCAACGCAATGTCATGACATCACACTCTTCCCTCGTTGCTTCCTGCCCTGTCGCCGCGCCCTTTGCGGCATTTTTGCAGGACGGTGGAATCCGGCAACTTGACGGACGTGTTCCCGGGAGTGACTGTGTGCTGGCCACGCTCCCCTAGGGCTACGTGGCCGCACCAAACCCCTGCTAGCTGTCGTGGAAGTCAGACCAGACTTGTTTACTTGTCCCTTGGCCAAATCCGGTCCAACTTTATCATAATAGTGGTTACAGTCTCAACTCCTCTGCTTCCCAAAGGTCTAAGAAAAACTACTTTATTTAATCTGGTTGTAATCTGGTTGTTATCTCCCATCTCCCATGTTTGTGTTCCTCCGCCAATTTTGGTAGCTGCAGGTTGTGGTTTAGATATACATTTATCCAATTTCTGTCCCCACAAAAAAATAACAAGCCTTGAATGGAAAATCTTCACAAAAATCAATGCAGATCAATCCCTAATCCAGGGTCAAAAGAAAGAGATAGAACTAGTCCCTCTTCGGTTCTCCAACTTCATCTCTAATATCCGATGCATGCAAGTCATGAGTACTAAGGCTCCTTGTTACAAGCGATAAATGTCCTCCATGTTGACTATCATAATCAAACTCATGCACACTCTCGAACATTCAGCCAAATAGCACAACCTTCCCCGACGTGTTCATGTCGATTGCTTTCAATAGTTTCTTGTCCTATCTCAGGAGGCAAGGGTCCCGATGTAGCACTGATTTTAGTTTAGCGCAATCGTGCGAAGGAGAGCCACCGAGAGACGTCATGATTCTGATCTGGTCTGGTCCGACTTTCTGTATAATTAATGATTATCACGTGAGAGCGATGTCCGATTACAACAATTCCCACCTGGACTTCAGTCAGCCACCGCGCAGCTCCGAGGACTACGTCACCAGAAGAAGAACGAAGGTTCCTGCACAGCTTTCGGTCGAAAGAGCTTTCAAGCTTTCTTGAACTTGCTTGTTTTCACGTCTTCGACCTTTTGATATATATGGAATTACACGTTCGCAATCAATCATTCCTGCACTTTTGCCTTGACCACTGCACTCTCCGACTTGGGACACAAGAGTGACAACCGAAGAAGCAAGGTACTTTTCATCTCTGGCGTACTCTTTCTTCTGTGCCTCGTAAATTGAAAAGCAGGAAACTTGAGCTTGATGCGATCTGGGAATCTGTTGGTTGGTGATGTGTCATTTTCTCTGGTGGCTTGAATGGATCGGAGTTGATCATATTGAGCGTTGCTATGATGGAGATGTTTCTCTCCTCTACGTGACTCGTTCCATTCCGTGCCTTATTTCAGTTTAAGGTTAACACTACATCCTCAAACCGTGATTCCAATCACTTTTAACAACTTCATTCAACTCCACGAATGCAGAAAATCATACACTGATCTATTTCATTGGCAAAAAAAGGGGGAAAATCAGTCCAAACTCATACGGTTTCACCAAAAGCAAACTGTATGAGGTTGTTTTAAGTCAAATAGAAGTCACTTTCAGCCATACAAATTGAGAAACATTGAGCAATGCCTCATAATATGTCACAGTGTCACATCTACCACCCAAATTTCCTGCTACTCTGTAAAATTTGATGCTTTGAGCTTGTGGATCTTGATTGTATAAAATGTAGGAGAAGGAGTGTAGTGTCGTCAATCCAGATAGCAACTCGGAGATTAAGTATGCCTGAAAAGAGGACTGAAAATTAAGTCTTCATGCATTTCATTTGCAATATTGAGCTATGACAAAAACTAATGCTTATAACCAAAGTCTTGTATGCGTGAAGCGAGTTTGGTTTGAATATTACTTCTCTTCATATTAGGCCTTAGTTTGCTTGTGGATGTTTACCACTGAAAAAAACAATTTAAAAAGTTCAATGAGATTGTTAGAAAATCAGGAAAATTTAGAAGTCTCTTATAAACTTAAATTTGTAGTAACATACTTGGACAACGGACTTTACCCTGAAAGATGAAGATATGGTTAAAACTATATTGTTATTGTGATATTTACTCAGTTCGAATTTTCTTGATCTATCTAGAAATTCAATTCTTGAAGGTTTGTATCAGGTTTTGGAATGTGTTTATTTTTTAATTTTAGATAAAAAATTCCTACTTGAAATCAATTCAATCTTGTGGGTTATATTATGATAAAATGATGTTGAGAGCCAGGTAAAAAATTACACTAATTCCCCACACCTTGATCCTCAAAGTACTGTGCGTACTTAGGCAAATCAGAACCCTAAACTCAATTAAATTTCATTTTGGGTATATTTCCGATGAGCAAATAGTCATCCACGTTGTAATCTCTTCAAACGAGACATTGGAGTAACTTACCAACAATAATGAATAAAATTATGAAAGGTTCATATAGAACTTTTAGATTTTTTTTTCAATTTATATTTCTCAATATAATTTAAATTTATAGAAAGAATTATACAAAATTTACCTATTCAGGTCTTCAGATTTATTATGAAAATTTTTAATTAGACCAACAAATTGTAAAGAAAACAAAACAAAACAACCTAATGAATTTTAGATGTGATTTAAATGTGATATAAGTTGAATAACACCTATGCTTCCAATAAAAGAGCTCAAGATTGCAACTACAAAGTTAGTGAAGCAATTGAAACAAATGAGTGAGGCAAACGGTAGCAAATCCTAAAAGAATCTAAATAAAAATCTGAATCTAAAGAGAATATTTTTCTATCTCTTTGGTTGTTTAATTGAGTTTGAAGAAATGCTTTGACATGTTTAGGGCCAGCAGAGCTCAGTGAGGGAGGGAGTATGCAGGGCGAGAGTCGTGCAATTAGAGGTCGCCCTCTCGAGCTCGAGGTGCAGCTGCTGCTCATGCGGAGGCGACTACTTGTCTACATCGCAATAATAGAGCTAAAGGTCAAAACACGCCGTCGAATTCTCTATGAATTATCTCTCCGGTTCTCTAGCCATCGAGAGCGAAATAACAAATTTTATGGAATACAAGAAGCGAGAAGTAGGCAATAGTATTCCAAACTTGCATTTTGAAGTAAATAAATCTTGATATCAATTTTGTGAATAAAGTTTTGCGTACTTAACAAGGTAGCCTACTTAAGTGGGAAGTTACTGTAATGCTAATATTTAAATTTTTCTTTTGAGTTTTCATGATGAATGTCACAATCTAGGCAAGTATATGGCTTCTTCAATAGATGATTTGACAAAAAATTTGATAAAAATAATATTTTTGAAGTTATTTATCATTTAATATCCATATTAAAAATTTTATTAATATATTAATATCTATAATTAATTATTAATAATCAAAGAAATAATATTTTAATAATTATATACAATAATTTTTTTTAGTTTATTATTTTCTAAAAAATTTGAAAACAAAAGGTAAGATTGATAAAGAAATAAACATATTTCTTTTAATTTTAATTTATTAAGTATTAAATAATTGAGAGCAATTTTGAATCATAAATTCATCTATGAACAAACACAACTTTAAGCAAAAACTATGTTGTGTATGCAGTTGCTTAAATATTTTATTATTTAATTCAAATTTATTTGGATTTTATCAAATTTTAATAAATTACAGTCAATCAAATTTTTTTATCAAAATTTTACATTCACAATGAATTACTAGAAGAAACAGATTTATTCATTTGAAATATAAGCTCATGTGTATACATAAAGCTAAAATTTATAATTAACAAATATCAAAATTATATTTATTCCCTTCAATTGTAAAGCGTTAGCCCCCAATCCTACAGATTATTTTAGAAAAAATGAAGTATTTACATATATTATGCATATCTATAAATAACTGCAATTTAATTTTTTTCTTAATAATCTTTATAAATTTTTGAATTAATTGGTTAATAATTTCAAACATTACGAGCATAAATTGATATTAGATTTCATTTGAATGCAAAGTACAATAACATTCATATTGGCAGAATATCATATATTTCAATTTTTGTTTTCATTTGCCACCAAATCTAAATGAGTCAAATTTTTTATCCTTCATAAATATATAATTTTAAATAATATATAAAATATTTTATTTTTAAAATATTTATTAATATTATAAATTTATATGAATTTCAACAGAAAAATAAAAATATTTTTTATTTTTATTTTAATATTAAAATTTTTAAGTAAAAATAATCAATAAATTTAATAGATAAATTCAAAAATTTTAATTAGAATTTTAAAACTTTCAAAGATGTAAAAAAATTATTAAAAAAAATAATTGTATGAAACGTTTTTGTAGATTTTAGCTCAAAAATGTTTTGATATAAGTTAAAAATCCACGTCTTTTTTAAAAATAAATACATAAAATTACTTTATCATCTTGCAACTAGAAATATCAAAACTTTAGTTTCATTTAAATTCACATTTTTAAATCAAATTTGAAAATTTTGTGATGAATTGTTTGTGAAATGTAACTTAATAAAGTCAAATTTATTTAATAACATTGTTGTAAAGATGAATATGAATGAGTATAAAGAGATAAAAAAAAATTATTGAAACTCCAAGGGAGAAGAGAAAATAAAAATCATGTTTTTAATTTTGTAAGAGAATCTAATCTTCAAATCAATATTTACCAAAAAATTAAAAATCTAATTTTGCATCAAATCAAGGATTGAAAAAAAAATTGTTAGAGTCATGTAAACACTAAGATATATATTCTAAAAAATTTCAGATATGTTTTTTGTTTACACTGATTATTTATATTTTTATAAATATATTTTGCAATAAAATCAATTAATTTTATTGTATTATGTTTTGACAGCAATGTCATTTTTTTTTACAAGATAAACTGAAGGCTGAAAAATGCAGGATATGCAACATGTGATCATAAATTGCATGTATCATAAAAACGATTACTCAAAAATTTCATCAACAAAGAGTTGTAAATTGATTAACATGAAAAAGTGATTGACTCTAATTAAATGAAAAGTTTTAAATTGAAAATTTATTCTAAAAATATGTTGTGATAGTAAGTATATT